CACTTGTACGTCAGTTGCCTTAAAACTGTGGGAGAAAAGGCACCGTTTAATTGGGGGAAGGTGAGAAGGGGTGGCTGATTAAGCGACCAAGCCGAGTGCTGCCGCAACAACAGAATCCTACCTAAGGTACTGTAAGGAATTTTGGGCATATGAACGAACGAAGGCAGATGGCATATTTCTATTATTCAGAAGACTGTAATATGCTTTGGAGCTTTTCAGCTGTGTCTGATAACCTCTAATGGCAGGTATCTTTTTCTCCTTTAAGATCTGTGCTGAACTATACCAAAGAGACAATGATGGTTTCAGCAAAGATACTGTGTCTGCAGATATATTCTCTTGTTCCATTCATTCATAATTATGAAGAAAAGAAACAAGCCTGCCTTTCTGGGGGAGGGGGAGATAGCGGAGGAGGGTGCCTTGAAGAGTGGTTCGATATCTGGATCGAACAGAGGAACTTTTCCCCCCTTAGGATCCTGCCTGGAGAAACCTTGACATGCACAAAGTCAGAACCTAGACAAAGTTGCCCTGGTGAGAACGATAAGGTCACCCGTGGGATTGCTGAGATTATCTCTGTCAAGCACTTGGACAGCATGCAGTCAAATGATGCATCATGCAGTCATTTTCAGGGGGGGAAATCAATTTCTTCACCAGGTCGCTATTTGCTTTTCAAAGTGCCCTTGTAGGCCTTCCACCACCGAACATTTATCAATTTAAATGTTGTAAATTGATAATGTGCCACTGTAACTTGTACTGTTTCTGAATTATTTTGATACTCCTCTTTTCTCTGTGGTCCCCCAATCCTTCAGTGCATTTATATTTTAAAAGGGTTTCCCCTTTCTCTTTTCAGCTAAACGAACAACAAAAACAACACACACACACACCCAAGCCTAATAAATACTTTAATTTTGTGTTTGTTTGTTGCTGTTATTTTTTTTAAAAAAATCTTCCTTGGAGCTATATGACTACAGAGAATCATATTTTATGTTTAATTATATAATGTTTATTTAATGTTTATTCTTAAATGAGGTCAAATGTCTATGAAAAGCTATCAATACTGGTGGATTAATTTAATGAATACTCATTACTCTGGCGTGTGGCGTTCAAATTTACTGTGTTGCAAAAAAAGAAAAAGAAAAAGGCTGTAGTAGGGTTTGTTTGTTTTAGTGCTCTCATTACGAGGCTTTAAAAATATACTAGATAGCTATCTCCATCAAAAAACTGTATTTTAAAATAGGAAATTGGGTTGGAGCACACAAAAAGAATGCAAATGCCAACATTTTTGCGAAAATATATTTTAACCAAATGTAGCATAAAGTAATGCAATAAGCAGATACTAGCCTCAACTTCATTTGCATAAAAAAAAAACAGGTGGGACATAGTTGTCAAAGCTTCAGAAAAGCAAAGGAATTACATAGCAGTTGCAAAGCATCCTTAACCTCCAATGATTTATTGGCCCTTGGCCAAGTTATCAGGGGAATCTAATTCTTCTTTATTATTCAAATAAAGCACATTTGGCACCCTGGTTCCCTTTCAGAATAGCTTCACAAATAGACTGAGCACTGTCATTTATTTGACCTTGTTCTTGTGTGCTGTTGCTCTAATTTTATTTGCCATTCCTTAGGACAAATACTTAGAAATCCAACGTTCAGAGCTTGGTTACATTATGGTACAAGCAAAGTACATAAATATACCAGTTCGCTTTCACCTATTTTGCTTTTAAAAGGACACAGCCTAAACAACAACTTATCCTTTATTCCCCTTCACCTCTATTAGCTCTTATTATGTCTGCAGCTGTACTGTTCTCTATTTAGCAAGAATTTTTTTAAAGGACAATTTGCAACCCTTTATGTGTCCTGGGTAACTGGATACAAGGGCAGCATTGCATTTTAAGGTGAGAATTCCGGCTTGCAAAATAGAGAGGAATGTTCAGGTGATCAATTAAGAGCTTATTTAACAACATAGCATCCTAAAAGCAACCCTGTTGGATCAAGCCCAGGGCCCATTTTGTCCAGCACCTTGTTTTCATGATAGCCAACAAGCTGTTCATGGGAAGCTTCAAAGCAGGGCCTGACCTTTAAAGCCCTAAATGGCCTTGGCCCTGTATACCTATGCCCGGACACTGAGGTCCAGCGCCAAGGGCCTTCTGGCAGTTCCCTGAATGCGAGAAGTGAAGTTACAGGGAACCAAGCAGAGGGTCTTCTCGGTAGTGGCACCCGCCCTGTGGAATGCCCTTCCATCAGATGTCAAGAAAATAAACAACTATCTGACTTTTAGAAGACATCTGAAGGCAACCCGGTTTAGGGAAGTTTTTAATGTTTGATATTTTATTGCTTTTTTTATTCTGTTGAGAGTCACCCACAGTGGCTGGGCAAACCCAGCCAGATGGGCGGGGTATAAATAATATATATATATATATATATATATATATATATATATATATATGTATTATTATTATTACTACTACTACTACTACTACTACAGGACACTCCCCATTTCTGATTTTCAGCAACTGGTATTCAGAGGCATACTGCTAGGTAAAGTATGAATATTGGGGCCAATAGTCATTGATGGCATTATCCTCTGTGAATTCATCTAATTTGAAAAGCCAAAGGCTCTCATTTATTTATTTAATAACATTCACATACTGCTTGATTGTAGGGACGCGGGTGGCGCTGTGGGTAAAACCTCAGCGCCTAGGGCTTGCCGATCGCATGGTCGGCGGTTCGAATCCCCGCGGCGGTGTGAGCTCCCGTCTTTCGGTCCCAGCTCCTGCCCACCTAGCAGTTCGAAAGCACCCCTAAGTGCAAGTAGATAAATAGGTACCGCTTTATAGCAGGAAGGTAAACGGCGTTTCCGTGTGCTGCGCTGGTGCCGGCTCGCCAGAGCAGCTTCGTCACGCTGGCCACGTGACCCGGAAGTGTCTCCGGACAGTGCTGGCCCCCGGCCTCTTAAGTGAGATGGGCGCACAACCCTAGAGTCGGACACGACTGGCCCGTACGGGCAGGGGTACCTTTACCTTTACTGCTTGATTGTAAAACAACAACAACAACAACAACAACAACAACTTAAAAGTGGTTTACAAAAAGAATAAAACCATGGAATTGTCAGTAAAAAAAAGTAAAAAAATATCTATTTCATAAAGAGTTGGGACCCTGAGGATCAGCAAGAATAATAAAAATCAATAAGTTAAAAGCCAGATTTAAAAACATGTCAATATTCTATATGTATGGATAAGCTTGCTGAAACAAAAATGTTTTTAGCAGGCACCAAAAAGAATACTGCGAAAGTGCCTGCCATCCAACAGCAATTAGCAGGAAGTTCCTAATTACGAGCTGCCACGCTAAAATATCTATTTATTCTCATACTTTCTCAAACTGACAAGCTACACACAGGCGATCTCACAGGTAAACAGGTCCCAAGCTGTTACGGACTTGGCAACTGATGACGATCTCTGAGCAGAGGTATTATTGTTACAATATTCTGTTCCACCTTAACAGATATGTGGAGTTGTTGTATGTCACATGTCTGTTTACATTCCAGCACAGCTTGCTGGGAACTTCCGTTGTGTGTATAGCTTTTGCTTATGCTGTTTGCTTGGACACGAAGGGGAGAAGACATGTTTTCCCCTTTGTCCTGATGCTTAATAAAATACCTGTAAATACGCTTTACACAGCCTCTATCTGCCCTTCTGTTGCGAAGAGTTATTTTCTCTGCTGGCTTGCGTGCTCAGCTTCTGAAGGTTTCTGAAGCTTGAGTTGCAGTTACATGGTGATCCAAGGACCGGAGATTGTTTGGCTGCCGGCCGGTAGGCTGGAGCCAGCTGAGGGCCTGCCAATTGCCCCTGTTTCCTTGGACGCAGCTCAACAGTTATATGCTGACAGGGTCTTAATCCTGTCAGCAACCATGCTGCAGTGTTCTGTAGGGGGTTGGACCTTCTGGGTCCCCTCCAACCCAAAAGTACTATGATTCTATGATTCTGAACTAGCTGCACCTTCCGGGTCAAAGTGCAAGGGAAGCTCCACACAGACAGTAGAACAATCTTGAAGTAACCAGGATATATAACCGGTTATTCTGACACATTCACCTTTTCTAAATGCTATCCAAACATTTAAATTCTGCTGACACATTTTGTTAATTATAATCAAACTCAGATTTTCTCAGATTTTCTATAGTGCCGGAAGGGCCTTATAAGCCATCTAGTGCCTGCTCCTGCTTGAGGCATGAAATCCAGAGCTAGAGCAGGAGGCTGATTTCATGCCAATGGGCCTCTGTACACAGGGCTGGGAATAAGTCACCTTTCTACATATTTAGGGAGTGTGGCGGACAAGTTGAAGTGAGTCAAAAGTGAGACAGCAACCACAAGCAAAACCATAGGTTCAACACTCTATAACCCATGGTAAGTGAATATGTTAACCAATATAGGCAACAAAAGTTACGTAAGCTATATCCATTGCCCTGTGATTTTCCTTTGGCCTATGTTAGGGTTGCCATATTTCAGGAAGTAAAAATCTGGACACAAAAAGTTGTTGAGCTTCCTTAGGGCCACTGTAGAGCCCAAACCGCCCACGCCTGAGCCCTGGTAGCCTGTGCCAGAGCTGCCCACATATCTTTAAAAAAACCCCAGATCCAGGACATTTTCTTTAAAATGTAAAATTCCCCCCAGATGGGCATGTAGGACCCCCACATGTCCAGGAATTCCCGAACATATGGCAACCCTAGTAGACCTGAATCAGTGCCTGGAGGCTATATAGGATTGGATGACGGCAAACAACCTGTGAAGATGAGCAGAAAGGTTTCACCTATCCCAGGGTTGCCATATTTCAAAAAGTAGAAACTAGGATACCCCGAAAGCGATACCTTTCGTAACTTCCCCCTGGATGTCGATTCTGCCTTTGAAATCCCGATAATGTCCAGGAAAATCCGGACGTATGGCAGCCCTACCCTATCATAGAATTGGAAGGAACTACCAAGGTCCAACCCCCTGCAATGCCGGAATCTATTGTCCAGCATGGGGCGCAAACCCATGACCCTGAGATTAAAGGTCTCACGTTCTACCAACTGAGCTATGTCTCTGCTCTTATCCTTAGGGAGGGGTGCTGGTGCCAACAATGATTAGGTTGCCTGAAAGGCTCACTGAACTTTGCCATCGCTTGTACACAAGGTAACCTCAAATACAACCTTTTCAACAGAATATATTTACATATCCATATTCACATATTCAGGCACCAGTACTGAGTAGGCACCTAATGGGACACCCAAGTAGGAACATACCCAAGTTGCCTTATACTGAGTCCACATAGCTCAGTATTGTCTGCACTGCTTGGCAGCAGCTCTCCAAGATTTCAGACAAGGTTCTCTCACAGTCCTACCTACAGAAACTGGGGATTGAACCTGGGGCAAGACATGCTCCACAACTAAGCTACAACCCTTCCCTTTCAGTGGTACCTCGGGTTACAGATGCTTCAGGTTACAGACACTTCAGGTTACAGACTCTGCTAACCCAGAAATATTACCTCAGGTTAAGAACTTTGCTTCAAGATGAGAACAGAAATTGTGTGGTGGCAGCGCGGCAGCATTGGGAGGCCCCATTAGCTAAAGTGGTACCTCAGGTTAAGAACAGTTTCAGGTTAAGAACGGACCTCCGGAACGAATTAAGTTCTTAACCCGAGGTACCACTGAAATAGTCTTGAAGGTTTTGGTCGTGGATAGCAGGTGTGGCTAAAACACCTTTAAAATCTTTGTTTATAATCTGGAACTCTGAGACAGTAGCAAGCTCTAAAATCTTGGTGGTGATCCAGAAGGTCCCTTGGAGGGCCAGAAGGTACTTCCGCGTACCATATCCGATTTCATTCTGGGAGGGTGACTGGAAGGAAGAATCTTAAGGTGATCAGATTTCTAGGTGTGCTTCCCTGGATGCATCCCCATGTAAATAAGCTTGTACCTGTTAATCTGCTCAGTGGCAACTACATTTCTTGACATTTGCTATGTTGAAATATGGATGGTTTTTTTGGGGGGGGGGGGGAACATAGCTGCAGCACTTTAAACCCTTTGTTCTGAAATTCACCTACTTTAGCATAGCCACATTAATTTAAAAGAAAATGGTGTTAGCATCTTGGTCCAAGTTAACAGATCAAATCACTTTACAAGTGGGATTATGATCTGTAGAATAAATGGCATTGCAGTTGAATGGCCTGGATAATTACTCTTTTGAATATATATCATGTTTAATTTTATAGGACTTTGTTTTGGGGTACTATCCATACACCAAGTATGTAAGACAGAAGTGCATATGAGAGAGAGAGAGAGAGAGAGAGAGAGAGAGATGCTCTTGATCAGCACTCCAGGCAGTTGAGCTTTCCCATGGAGGCTTGCCAAAACAAAAGGCTGCCAGCATTTCAAAAACGCAACACAACAGGGAGATCAAGACTGTTTGGGATGTGATCAGGAGGGAGAGATGCAAAGTTAGATACAGAACAGAAGAAGACAGAAGCAAGGTCTCTAGCCTTGCACTAGCAGCAGGCTAGCTGACTGCCATATAGTATATAGGAGACCTTTCAGGTGGTGTGGCGGGGGGAGCATAAGGCTTATGTCCACAACTGCAACCTTTTTAAGATTCTCTTGGAAAATGTGGGGGAAAGACTGTAGCTTAAATGGAGCACAGCCTTTTTGTCCTAAAGGTCCAAGATCCAAACCCCAGTATTCCCAGATAAGAGTTGAGAAAGACTGGCTGAAACCTTGGAAAACCAGCTCAACCAACTGGCGGACTCAGAAAAAAACAGCTTCCTATGCTCCTGTCTTTGAGTTGAGTGCAGCAGTTTTACTGCAGGGTGTTTCTCAAATACCATATTTTTTGCTCTATAAGACTCACTTTTTCCCTCCTAAAAAGTAAGGAGAAATGTGTGTGCGTCTTATGGAGTAAATGCAGGCTGCGCAGCTATCCCAGAAGCCAGAACAGCAAGAGGGATTGCTGCTTTCACTGCACAGCGATCCCTCTTGCTGTTCTGGCTTCTGAGATTCAGAATATTTTTTTCTTGTTTTCCTCCTCCAAAAACTAGGTGCGTCTTATGGTCTGGTGCGTCTTATAGAGCGAAAAAATACGGTATATATCCCACAGCAGTTAATGCTTCCTGTGTATCTACAACTTGTTCCAAAGAAGTTGCAGAAGTTTCAGCAAAGACTTTGATTCCTTTGCCATGTTTCCTCTGGCAGCATGCTTTACTTGGCTCCTGATCCTCACAATGGTATGGTTTTATTTATTTACTTCAGTTATTTGTTACTTTTCAGGGCCAAGCCCTCACAAAGTGACATACAGAGACAGGGACAAGAGATTTGGTGCCTGAGGACCAGACAGTGATGATAGTTTAATTTTACTTGTGGTGAAACAGCATCTTTCACCTGTGTGCAGCAAGCTAGCTTAGAGACTGCAGGGCAAGTTATGTAGCACACAAAGCTCTGTTCTCTAACACTTCACCATCACTGCCTGCCCTACAACATCTGCCACCTAAGTCAGCTCTCTCACTCTACCTAATAGTAGGGCCAGCTCTGTACAGAAAGAAGTAAACCAGGGGTATGCAACCTAAGGCCCATGGGCCACAAGTGGCCCACAGGGGTTGTTTAACCGTCCCACGAACCGCCCACAAACTGAGCCGCCCGCTAGACGAGTCCCCGCGCGCTGCGCTAAACCGGCACAGCGCGGTGCAGGGACTTGCTTCCGCAGCACTGGAAACCGCATGCGGAAACTGCAGGCGCGGGCGCTCATGCGCGTGCGTAATCAGGCCCACAGAGGGATCTCCGCTGGAGTGAACTGGCCCAGGCGAGGTAAACCTTGCCGACCCCTGAAGTAAACACATACAGAGTATGAAACATTGAGTAGATATAGACAAACAGATACATGAAAGATACCAAATTAGAGCACCAAAATTCTCCCAAGGACAGTCACAAGCAAAAAAGATAATTTTTAAGGTCTTCTTGAATGAGGTCTTCTTGAACTGAAGGAGTCAAACAAGAGTTAGCCAAAGGAGAATACTAACTGGAAATTAGTTCATTTAAATCAGTCTCTCTCTTTTTGGGTGGGGTGGAGCTATTTTCTGAGCTGACTTAGGTGGCAGATGTTGTAGGGCAGGCAGTGATGGTGTTAGAGAATATGTTTGAGCAGACACTATCCCAAAAATGTACTGGTACCTACCGGTATTTGCAGTATGTTTACATTATGATGTGAGGAAAACCGATCAACATTCACCAATTTCAACACAATCAATTCTGTGATCAACATTCCTACACTTACTCATACATCCCCAAAATGAATATTTTGGTAAGATTTCTTTCAAATTGCTCATGCACATCACATCCGTTTTTTAAAGCCTGTGCTTCCAGTCGCATGACAGAAATGTTAACCCTTTCCTCTGCCGTAGCAAGTAAATGGTTCCAGGTCTGAAAGCAGACATACTATCTAATCACTAGCTGAGCAACGAAACCAAATCTACGGAGATTATAATCAAATATACGCTAGGCACTAAAAAAATAAAAATAAATCTTATGCATCATTCTCAAATCCAACATTACTGAATGTGTAAACTCTCAAAGTGTCACAAGGTTTATTCAACACAAACACAACCTCTGCCAGCTCATGGCACGAACCCAACAATGTTTATCTGATAGCAATGGGGAGAACATAAAGAATTGGAGGCAAGACATCTCATGTGTATATATCCTATTAATGCTTGATCTTGGCACCTTTATCACAAACTAGAATTCAATAGCATAACAACCTACTACAATGACTTCCACGCTTTGAACAATTTCGAGATCACCAAAGTGAAACATTAGCATTTCCTTTCTAGAGGGAGAATTGTTTGCATAGCTATTTCTGCTGCTGCTCTTTGTGGTAAATAAAGCTTTTGAATGCTTAATTTAGTGTGGATGATTGCAGTTTCTCTTTTGCTACCCTTAGTGATGAATCTGTAACATATCATAGCTTTTCCAAGACTGCTGAAAAGACTACTTGGATTGGTAATCTTTGGCCTCAGAGGAAAAGGGAGCATCTCCCTTTGGTTTGCAGAACTAGAATATAAGTATCTATAATGTTAATTTATTTGAAATATTTTCACCCACTTTTCTTTTCCAAACTCTTTTTTTTAAAAAGAAGGATCTCGGTGGATTTTTACCTGCAGGATAATATTCTAATATAAAATACTGCACATGAACCAACACAATGCTGAGGGAACACAATCTCCTTCAACATAACCTCAGATGAAATGTACAAGGGGATTGTGGCAACAAGAACTGCTGTCCCCATTTCTGGTATTGACTGCCCCTTTCTAAACGTCTGGCGCATTGCTAGTATATTACAGCACAATAAATGTGCATCTGTTGCACATTTATAGAGCTATGTTAAAAGGTAAAGGTAAAGGTACCCCTGACCATTAGGTCCAGTCACGGACGACTCTGGGGTTGTGCGCTCATCTTGCTTTATTGGCTGAGGGTGCCAGCATACAGCTTCTGGGTCATGTGGCCAGCACGACTAAGCCGCTTCTGGTGAACCAGAGCAGCGCATGGAAACGCCGTTTACCGTCCAACCAGAGTGGTACCTATTTATCTACTTGCACTTTGACGTGCTTTCGAACTGCTAGATTGGCAGGACTCATATTTGTGGGCTCTGAAGTAAGTCTCTCAGATATTTGTATTGCTTACTCAAGTAAGTGGTGAGAATTATGATTCCTGCATTCTTTTCTGGCTCAGATTTTAATCCAAGCTAGAAAATAATCCCCCTCTACCCAACCCACACTACCAAGCCGCCTCTACTTTCCTCCCACTTCACTGACCAGGGTGCTACAAAGTTGGGAGAGACCTCCTCTCTTCCTTCATTCTCCCAGGGAGCTGTCACAGTTTGCTGCCAGAGCTATACTGCTGCTTCACTCTGGTCAATGCAATGGGAGTGAAGGAGGAGGTTTATGCTTGAGAACAAGACAAAGGGGCACATTTACATAGGATTGGAAATAAGTTAGCTATTTTCTGGTTTGGGGCTTATTTCAGCGCCAATCCAAATATGAGCTGGAGGAGCTCATCTGCCG